GGTTTTGCCATGGCTTTTCTGTGGCTGAGAAAGTGTGCATGCATATTTATTTTATTTATTTTATTTTTTAAAATTATATTTATTTATTTATTTATTTATTTTTGGTGCTTTGGCCCCCCAATTGTCTGAGGGACAGCAACCCGGCCCCCAGCTCAAAAAGGTTGCCTACCCCTGCTCCAGTTTATAAAATGGAGCCAGTTTGGAGCTCCTGGAGTAACTTGCCTCTCTACAGAAACTGCAGTAATGCTCTCCGTGGTCCTGAAACCAACCCAAAGACCCTAGCTGTTATCTGTAGTACTGACCATGGTGCTGAATCTATCCAGGACCTCACTTGTCTCACATTTTCCATCTTGCTTAAGCCATCACCTAAATGCAGATGACAGATTCTCTAATGGAAGGTGGAAAGCTCTTTGATACCTGCTGTTCATATAATTTATTTGGTTTATACCCTGCCCTTCCTCATGATTGTTCTGGGCAGCTAAATGGGTTAAATTCTGTGGCAAAGAAGAGTTATCCTAAATAAAGATAATGAAATCTAATTTGTAAATGTGAAAATGGGAGCTGTTTTCTATAGGAATTCAGATTCTACACTTGCAAGAACATTATTTCCCGATTTTATTGCAACTGTAAAATCTGACCTCCCATGGAAAACCTTCTTTCATTTTCACATTTACAAATTAGATTTCAACTGTTGTTGTACTGCAACTACAGTAATTTCCCTAGGACCGAGCTCCACTAAGTCAACAGGACTTACTTATGACACACAAAGGACTGTGAATGACCCACTTCCCACTGACTGGGGACTCCTAACATTTCTTTCCAGTGTGGATTCTATTGTACATTAAGATTTGCATAATTTTTATCTTCCCCATGTGTTCTCAATAAATAGCATGTGTTCTCCAAGTGATGATGACATATGAAGAAAGCACTTCGTAGTCCAGGTGGAAAGTCCATCTAGTCTTAAACGCTACCAATGCAGGAATACACTACTGAAGTAACCCTGAGGTGGCCATCTAACCTCTCTTTAAAAATGTCCAGTGAAGGAGAACCCATCTTCTGAGGCTGGCTATTCCACTGCTGAACAGCTCTTATGCTTCAGAAGTTATTTCTGATGTTTCAGTACAATATCTTTCCTTGTCATTGAAATCCATTGGCTCACGCCCAAGACTTAACTTGTTCCATCCTCTACATGAGCCCTTCAGATATTTAAAGATGGCTATTCTACCACCTCTCAGTCTTCTCTTCTCCAAGTTAAATTTGCCCAACTCCCTCCACTATTCTCATGTGTTTTTCCACCCTGACTCAGTGTGCTGGAGTTAGTGTAATACACAAAAAGGGCAAAAACCTGAATCCACCAATAATATACTTGAACACTAAGGGTAAAGGAATTAACAGACAAGAGCCTAAATATTCTAAAGGAAACAAATCTCATCTGATCTTGGAAGCTAAGTGGGTCAGATCTGGTTAGTACTTAGATGGAAGACCGGCAATGAATACCAGGTGCTGTAGGCTAGATTTCAGAGGAAGGAACTGGCAAAACTACCTCTTGAGTATTCCTTGCTTAAGAAAACCCTGTGAAATTTGACAGGTGACCAGAAGGCATACATACACAAAATTAATGGACTTGATTTCAGTAAGGCTTTTGACAAGGTCCCCCATGATATTCTTGCAAACAAGATAGTAAAATGTGGGTTAGACAATACGACTGTTAGGTGGATTTGTAATTGGTTGACTGACCGAACCAAAAGGGTGCTCAGCAATGGCTCCTCTTCTTTATCCTGGAGAGAAGTGA